ATTTCCAACACCTTGTTGCCAGAATGACCTTGAAGTTCTCGATGGTGTAGACTCTATTCATGAAACAGAGGCTGAAAATCTTTGATTTTCCCTTTGGGCATTTGGACCCAAATATCATTACCCCGAAGAAGTAAAATGAGCATATTGATAAAACGGTGAGATTTTGATCATATAGTTTTGATTTGTGTGGTTGTAGTTAGTATAACTTTGAGTCAATAACTATACTACCGACACAAAGAATAACATGTGTTGTGATTGATTGTCATCCACTTCCTCGAAACTCAACATTGAATAATCCAATCACCGTTTAGTCTCCGTTGCTACTTCCATTAGATAATGATGAGCTGACAAATTTTAGGTGAGATGGAAGGAATATGGTGACATGACACTCAAAAAGAATAATTTTTTATTTCTTAATTTATAATTTTAACCAAGCCTTTCACGGTTTCTAAAATATTAGAGAAAGTGGAATGAGAATACTAAATATTAGACAAACCTTTCACGGATTATTCCTTTGTCGTCGTTCCTTCGTTCTTCTTGGGGCCTACTCCGACGCAGAGGCCCATTTCCCGTCACCAACGGCTGCTCCTCTCTTTACACAATAGTAACGACACCCGAATAGTCTCCGTCGATCGAGAAGACGGAAGGCAATGACTGTTGATACAAATGTTGGTTAGGTTTGGCTAATATTTAGTATTCTCAAAGGTTTGACAGATATTTTATAATCCGTGAAAGGTTTGGCTAAAAAATAGTATTTGCTCTTATAATTTTTTTAAAATATTTTTTAATTGACATGACGTTGATGTGTCAAACACGTGGAATGACGATTAGTTTACGTGCATTCTGTTAAGGCTAACGTTAACAGGGAATGGCTATTATTTTATAGCATTATAAAAGGTATGACCAATATTTTGTATTTCCTAAGATTTACTTACCCAATAATCAATGTATATGGAATACTACTTCTTTTGGAGAATGCAATTATGGAACTGAGTATACTTACAGTTATAATGATTCCATGTCAAAATAAATGCCTCCAAATCCAATTGTCTAAGAATGAGTTTTTACTTTTTAGGGGTAAAAAATTATATTAATTAGATAAGAACTAGGGAAGGGCTGAACGTGGTGGGTGGGTTATTGGAGTAGAGGTCCATCTCATAATCCGTTGTCTGCTTTGTGAAAGACCAAATGGTCCTTCTGTAAGTTGCGCAGGAGCGAGGAAAAAGATATTTGAGTAGGTGTACATGGAGAACCTCTTTATAGTATTGTTTGATTCGAAGTAATTGGTCAAAGGACTGGGTGAGAGGGGAAGGAATTGAAAGGGAGTCGGAGACTTTTTTTTTTAAATGGGGCAAGCACCATTACCTCGGATTACTAAATCGAACGGACAACAAATCCGCCAATCGAATCGTACAAGAGCCAACGATCTATGTCAGGATCGGAAAAGCAAGTACTAATAGAGCCAGGATCTAATAGGTGACCCTTATGAGCTAAACAATCAGCTAGGAAGTTCGCCTCTCTTTAACACCCGGTACCTAAATTACCCTAAAATTCCCAATTTTCCCCTCAATTAATCATATGATTAATCTACAGTATCATTTATAGTGGAAAAGTAAAACTGCATCCCCAATTCAAATATCTCTGCTCTTAGAGTGATTTGAGGGTGCTGAGCTAGCTGGGCGTTTAGGCGGCCTTTTCTCTCTCCCCTTTTTGGGACCGTAACCGTCCTTCCCCGTTTTCCTTTCTCCTTCCCACGGCAAATTGCATCTCCGATTATGTTTTTAACTTCTGACTGTCTCGCCGCACTAACCACATACCCATCGCCGTTCTCCAAAGCTTCCCTTCAGAATTTTCTCCACTGCTACGGTGCTACCACCCGTTACCTCCGACAACTCTTCTTCCCTTTTCGCGAGCATCTAATGCCGCCCTCAATCCTTTTTTCTGGCGACGGAGTTCTACTTACAAGGATCCATGCCCTCAATTCCCAGTTTTGTGGTGGCACTCTTAGGCAATACTTGCAAGGTCCCCTTCTTCTTCTTCTTCCCTTTGATTTCAGTTTTTTTTTGTACGATCGATTTATAGGAATCTGGATTTAATCTATGGTGGAGTTTTGGCAGGGGATCTATTTCTTTTTGTTTGGAGCCTATCGCATAGACTATCAGAAGTCATCAACTGTTCAATTGGATGTGTTTGTTTTATCTCTTCCTTCCTCAAGGTTGTGTTTGTTTACCTTTTAGGCCGACATTACACCGACGGAAACGTCACTATGAGAAGATCTCGCAGCACCGTCCAGATCGGAGTTGCCCCAGGTCCTCTCTGCTGATTGCAATTGGTAAGTCTGGATTGAATTGCATCTCTCGCCTCCCAATTCCCCAGTCAACAACTCCTTCGGCTACGTTGTACTGTACCAGCTTGTCCTTCAATAATTTGCCATGCCCACACGTTTTCACCCCTGATTCTGCTTAGTGGATGCAATTCCTTCAATGAAGAAAGACTACAAACATGGTTGACGTTTGTAGCTTCTTCTTCAAAAAATTGATGCTCCTCACTCACAAGTCACAACATCTCCTCAATGCTCCTCACTCTACTAGTAGGTTCTGTGCATAATTGATCAACAAGTTTGGTTTGTACTCCTCACTCTACTGATATAGGTTCTGGGCATGATGCGACTGGCGTCTTCTCGACGGAGTAGTCTTCATTGCAGCTGCAACGATTCCCTTCCCACTTCTAAGTCGGGAAATCGCGCGTTAGCGATACTGCCGATCGAGGGGACGCTTCTCCCATCCACATTCACATTCTTTCCGGGGTACTTCAATCCCAACCTTCTTCCCCGTCGATAGTTTCTGGGTTGCGCCCAAAGTCTCTCTTTTCGATGCTGTCTTCGCCTAAATTTTGATCTGCTGCTTCTTTTTTTCCTTTCCCCCTTTCTTTGCAGGCCGGTTACGATGTTGCTTCACCCGTTGTAAGTTCTCAGTACCCTACATCTCATTTATCGATTGAACATAACCATGTTCACGACCTTCCTAATTGGATGAATCCTCTAATTTAAAATCAATTCCCACGTCAATGCAAGGTCTCTTCCGTTGTTTCTGTATTGGAGGATTTCCTGGATGTTGCTAGGGTTCCTCATGTTTGATTGCAACAATGCTCTCTTTCATTCGGTGTCTGCTTCAATGCCCCCAATTTTAGGCGCAACTCGAGTTAGGTTAACAATTGGGCTGGTGTCTTTCTGTGTATGACTGCCTTTTACCTTTTCGTTCATGTGGACCATGATCAACACCAGTAAATGCCAGAAGGGAACTCTTAATTGTTTGATCACTGGGATTGGAATAGATTGCAGCCAATATGAAAGTCTTCTTATAGGTATTGTTGATTTCACCTAATGGTGGAATACTTTTGTTTCCTAAAAGAATCCTTAGGCCCTTCTCATCTGTGAGCTAAGGTGCCTGCACTTCACAATCTACTCTACGGTGCACCAATCATGGAAATAATCATACCACCGCCACTGATGGATGTCGGTTCTGTAACGCGATGCATTAGGTTACCGGTTGATAGCTGCTCCTACTCCTTCCTCCACTCCCGTTCAGGATTGCTTTGTGCATTATGATCCTCCTGATGAGCCCAAAGTGCTTTTCTTTCTTCACTTCACATTGGTTAATTGTGTTGGTGATCTTCAATTTAGATTGAATTTCTGGCTTTTAGGAGTAAATAAATAGGATTGGACGAACAACACATGGAGAAGGTGCAGAAGGAAATGCCTTATTGTTCATGATTCCAGAAGAGCTTCAATTTCTGCAATATTTGAAGGTATGGCAGATTTGGCATATACTTTTACAGCCTGTACTTCGCTCTTGCTGTAAGCTTTAATGATTGTTTCCTTATTGTTCATGGTTCCTAACCCACCTTCTTCATCTATACAAGTATTGTAAATAACTAAATGAATGGTGTTTATTATCTATACTAAACAGAATTATGAACTGGGTCAGCTTCCTTTTACATTTGTTGTCTATAAAACTCTATAGCGAATTAACGACCAACTGATTCTAATGTTCTATCTCAACTTGAAACTCCCTCAAATGTTATTTTTGGGTTAGGAAGAATTCACTCCATTTGGAGGTGCTCAAGATTCAATTTCTCTTATTAAATTTTCCAGCTTCGTTCTATAAGTGACACCAAATTAAATATTCATGATGCTACCAGCTATAGCTTGAATAAGTTTGGTATATCTTTATTGTCGTTTTAGAGTGGATAGCAAACTATGATCAACCTAGAAACTCATAATTTATTTATTTTCTTAATTTAGTCACAATCGTACCGTAGGGTCAATATACTGATTTGTCTTAAATTCATTTAAAAAACCAGATCAACTATTGATGGTAAAAGTATTATGCCATTTGTGAATGAAATTGTTGTCATAAGCTTCTGGGTTCATTGATGTGGTTTATGTGACTATAGTTTGTTATCATGGGATCCAGTAGAGAGGACTTCATTGTGTGCAGAAGTTGTCAACTCCAACAGTTATGTTGCAATGACATTCTTCTACATTTGAAGTTTCTTGCATCAAAATACATAATTTATGCTTGGTTATTCCTTATTTGTCTCAGAAGCCGAGATTGTAGAATATCTCTGCTATTTCAACTGACCTTTTTATAGAATTTTATGAGATTTTTTTCAATTCAAATTTCTTATTCTCTCAACTAGCTGCAAGCGTATTTGTGTCAATCCTCAGTACTTTTTCCCCTTCGAGGGATATTTCAATAGACTTCCTGCATCGTCTGCTTTTGATTATAGTTTGTAAGTTTAGTAAATGTGTCATTGTAAACATTATTTCTAACATGTACCTTTGCATATATTATGCATCTAATTTATTTGATAACGGTGATTTGTAAACATTATCTTATTTTTTGTACCATTTTAAGTTTACCATATTATTTAAAAAATAAAAGAAATACCTCTTTGAGACTCTCCTATACACATATACTTTTAAAAACTCCTCTACTAGCAAGGGATAGGAGAGGACAATGTATCCACGACCGTTCATGAAAGAAATTGAATCCTCCATTTCTAGCTATAAAATACATGAAGATAGTGGGGAGATTGAGATAGGCAGTGGTGGGCAACGCTCAGTCGAAGATAGGTTGAAAGACACGATGATATGTTGTCATCAGATAAAAAAGGGAGAATGGTAAGAAAGAAAAAGTTTGAATATGCAAATTTTTGTAGTGAAAGTAGAGATAAAAATCGTACGACAAAAAAATGGTATATTGTCTTCCAAGTTCCAACTAAGACGAGTTGATCAATAAAAAAACATATGAACTAACTATCCACAAATAATACCTACAAATCATGTAACGACTTTCTCGCAAACGTCGACTCGGAAAAATTGGTTATTGAATATAAATATTTCAAATCATTTAACATATAAATATTAATCAACATAAATAATACAAAATAAAATGATGTTCATCTGACCAACGGGTCGGGTAAAAGCTAGTTCATATAGTAATCCCAAAACGCAGACGGAGCTCCTCACTATCGGTCACTAATGCTCTTCCCCTCCACCAAGTTATAAACCTATACAAATCCTAATCATCAAAGGGAAGCAGAAGAGAAACCCTAATTAAGTGACGAGGAGCGGCTGCACACCACCCCCATTCCATACCGCTTTTCCTTTCTCACTGCCGCCAAGTAACAAGCACACAGATATAGAGAGCCGCACAGCTTAGAGAGCGAGAGAACAAAGAGATATATATAGTGGGACTCAGAAGCAAAGATGAAGGAGTGGGACTGACAATCGAGAAATCGTGATGGTGGGTGACCACGATATGGCTTCAAGGAGACTCGATGGCGGTCGGGGATCGTGAGCTGACATTTGTAGGCAGCGACAGTGGGAGATGGGATGCCAGGGGTGTTATCTGCGATAGCTAATTCGCAACAAAATCGAGGAAAGGAGGACTACGACATCACACTAGTGGGAAAGGAAAGGAATGAACATACAAAAGTATGGTTTCTAATGAACTCGAGTCAATCGACTTGAACATAAGGTGTGTGGTTTAAGGGGCTAGTTAGTATTTCATTCTGAATGATTATTATGTTATTTGATGATGCATTCTACTTGAGTTATATGATATGCTCTTATATGCTATCTACATTTGACTTACGTACATATAAGATTCATGTTTAAGCTTCGAACTATGTTCATTTCTCTATTTATGCAAGCATGTCATTGCATTGCATCACCAAGTTATGTTTTAAGACCAGAAAAAGAAAATTACTTTATAGTATGCTTAGCTTATATCTTCCCATTGTGCGGAGCATCAGTTTGAGCAAGACTACTCGATTATTCAAGTTTACAAGCAAGCAAGAACAAGTTTTAAAACTCACTTAACTAGTTACGCACACGGCCACCTTCCTTCCCATTGTGAAGAAGTTGAACTTATAAAGTTTATCAAGCTTACTTCCCATTGCGAGGAAGTTGATCTTATCAAGTTTATCAAGCTTCATTCCTATTGTGAGGAAGTTATCAAGTTTATCAGGATTATGACGTTTTGGTGGTCGGGCGGTTGCACTAGTTAAGTTGAGTTTGGGGCCCCCATATCAAGAAAACCTTTGCAAGAAAATGTTTCCAAGTCAAGTAAATGTTTTAGTGCATGAGAATTTGCACTCATTATGCATGTTGGATCATTTTGTTTATCATGTAAAAAATGGAACTAGGATTAGGACGCATCCCAACGCCCGCACTTAGAGATTGTAGGATAATCAGAAGTGCACTACAGGAGACGATTTGGTCACGACGAGGTTCAAGGCTCCAGCGGACTCTAGTATGAAGAATTATATTCTTATGTACTTAGTAGGATTGAGAACTGATGTGCATTTATTAAGTATGTTTATGTTTTCCGCATAAGCAGGTTTCAAGAAATTATGATTTGAATTTCAAAGCATTTTTTAGTCTGGTTTTGGTTAACGGTTTACTAAGGATATTTTGATAAAAGCACTCCCTGGCCAGGTGTAAGGTGTTACAGGGTGCAAGCACCATTACCTCAGATTACTAAATCGAACGGACAACAAATCCGCCAACCGAATCGTACAAGAGCCAACGATCAATGTTGGGATCGGAAAAGCAAGTACTAATAGAGCCAGGATCTAACAGGTGACCCTTATGAGCTAAACAATCGGCTAGGAAGTTCGCCTCTCTGTAAATATGTTGCACTCTCACTTCCCAGTCCCTGCTCTGCAGTTCTCAAAAAGAAAGAACCAGATTGGCCTGTTGGTGATTAGTCGGACACGTGGACGAAAGGAGGTGAGCAGCTGTCGTCGAGTCGAGCTGAACCTCGACTTTTTTGTAGCCTGCATCCCATGCCGCCTAGAGTCCCTGTAGTGCGCCCCATAGCTCTGCACCATGAGTGATTGTACGTCTCCCCAGATTCATTGAGAAAGCACCTAAGAAACGACCCTGCCCGTCACAAAGTGCACCTCCTACAGCGGTTGACCCCGATGGTCGTAGTAACGAGCCATCAGAGTTCACTGTGATAGGGAGTCGGAGACTTTGGTGCCGAGTATGGAAGGGTTCGTCCAGTATCTATCTGGTGGCCAGCAAGCTCGTATTCAGCACTGGAGCGGATTTTAATAACGATGTCATTTTTGTTTGAGTTTCAATTTCAATTTCATTAAATTTGTTAGAAACAAGGTTTCTAACGTGTTTGGGATTGAGGAATTTAGCTAGATCAATTAGGGATTGACCTAACTAGGGATTAGGAGTTGGGAATTTAGAACAAAAAAGGGGGAAAGAAAAGGGAGCTGCTGCCGCAGCTTTTGGGAAAGAAGAGAGGGAGAGGGTCGGCGCAGAAGAGAGGGGAAAGAAGGAGGGTTTAGGTTTAGAATTTTTATTAACTGATTGCTTAATGAAAATAATGCCCTAGTACAGATTATATAATCCGCATAATCTCTATTAACTACCCAACTAATTAAACATAGCAATCAACTCCCTGTTTATTCCCGAATACCCCAAATAATACCCCAAATCATAAAAACCGATAATAATACGAATTAATAAAAAAACTGCAATTAATGTGTTTCCCACAAAATTGGAGCCAGCTTCCCTGTTAAACCTTTTCTTCAACACAGCTTTCGTTCTCACTGCAAAGCAAAGCAACTCAATCTCAATCCTTTTTATATTTCTTGAAGTCTCCCAATCTTAATTTCCCATGTCCCACGCTGACAATGGTGCAAGCTAGCTGCATAATTGGACCAACAAAAGATGGAAAACCCACAAAGCTGCACAACTAATTATCATATGATATATGCAAATGAAAGGCAAGGCTGAAGGCAGGCACTGCTGTATTAAATTAAAATGACAGCAAGTCGGTGGTCTCTGTGTTTGTGCAAAGTGCAAACACCCACACAAGTCAAAGGTTTGGTGTACTGTTCTTAAACTACCATATCTTATCCCCCAAAAACATGTTCACTGTTTGTGTTTAAATAATTGTCCAACATGTCTCTTATTAAAGTTCAACCATATAAGTCCATCCCATGGTTGGAGCTAAAAATGTGGAATTTGGAGGCTAGATTTGACGTTTTAGGTTCACCAAAGGGAATACTGCTCAAATGATGTATGCCAAATTTTAACTTTTTATCCGAGTTTAATCATTTTAATTGAATAATTCATTCTATTAAAATGGTGGGGCTCGGATTTTTTTTTATTTTTCTTATCGTTTTTTGTGCTTAAACTGGCACTTGAAACCTTTTATAATATTTTTGGCATTTTAGCTTAGTATCTAGGGTAAAATTCAAAACTAGAGGTAGTGCAAATATAAATACAACTCTTCGTCATTAAAACATGAAAATAGATTTACGTGAATTTCATTTTTTGCACAAATTGTGACATATGTAGGTTACTTATTTATTAGATTTCATTCTCTATAAGTGACTTTTTCTCCTATTTTCCAAGCTAATTTAACGCTTAAAACACAATTTCCACATCTTAACTCCATAAAATCAAATCAACGAACATACAAAACCAAATATTAAAATGAACGAATCAAATAGTCGCAACAAAGTGCGACAGGTTATCTAGTACGATATATATATATATATATACACACGGTAAGTCACAACATAAACCCTGTTTTACATGAATACATCGTTTCTGTGTTCTGCTAGTTAAAGAAGTGGGTAGTTTTGAATTGTAGTGGCTTCCTCAGCCTTCTGGATTCATAATAACATTAATTAATTAATTAAGCTCGAGTGTTTGAAGTGGGATATCTGCCTTTTGAAGTTTGAAAGCCTTTGGAGTCCTCATTTGGTATTACTGAAAAGATGAAGAACAATAAGACAATAAACAAGAAGAGGGAAGAGTTCCCCCCATGTAAACAGCAAACAACAATTTGTTTCCTCTGTTCCTTGGAGCTTTCCTCTGAGCTTCAAAGAGGCCAATGGCTGAATCCATCTGTATGTTAAGCCAGGTGGGTTCTCATTTCCTCTCCTCTCTGATAAAACAAAGCCCGGTTTTCATGCTCTGTTTCTGAAACAGGTTTTCTGGTTTTGTGTTCCTTTGAAATAGGTAGCAAGATTTTTCTCTTTTTCCTCTTCCCAATTGGGAAAAAGAAATTATTTCTCTGGGTTTCATGCATTAATTACACAGCACAAAGATTAGGAGCGAAAATCAAATGGGGTTTTCTTACTGCATTGATTTTGTCAAGTGAGCACCTGACACTCTGACCATTTCTATTGCCTAGTTTTTCTCATCTAATCTCTCCCCTCAAAATACTCAGAAACCCTTCACTCTCTCTCTTTCTTAATTAAACTTCCCCTGTCTCCACTTCCCTTCCCTTTCTTTCCTTCTCCTCCTGAATCCTTCATGGAGCATCATTATAGATGGAAGCCAATGTAATCAATCATTCATCTCTTCCTTCTTTCCCCCTTTTTGTCCAATGCTTTTAATGATTGCTGAGCGAGTTTCATCATCTGGGTATTAATTAATTGGTTATTTGCAGGATTCATTAGTCATCAAAGCTCCTAAGAAATCCCCATTGCTGCCAAGACTCGTGGTGCTGGCATTTGCCATGGTCTGTGGAGTCTACATTTGCTTCATATGCTTAAAACAGATCAACACCAACAATGGCGGCAGCACCACCAGCAACAAATTCATCGACGTTAAAGTCGTACATCAGCTCTGCAACTCTTCCGGCATTGAACAATGGGAGATCCCTTTGGTCCACTACCCGAATCCTGTCACGTTTAGCAGGTACCATAATAATCATCATCACACGCACAAAAAAAGAAAGAAAAACAGAGCATTTTTCGGGTTGTGACCGATTTCGCTATGTGCAGGGAGGAATGCGTGTGCAATCCGGTGAGATACTTCGCGATCCTGTCGATGCAGAGATCGGGGAGCGGGTGGTTCGAGACGTTGATGAACAGCCACATCAATGTGAGCTCCAATGGTGAGATCTTCGGGAAGAAAGATCGAAGGGCGAATGTTACGGCCATTGTTAATGTGCTGGACAGAGTTTACAATCTGGATTGGTTCAGTAGTGCTTCCAAGAACGAGTGTAATGCTGCTGTTGGATTCAAATGGATGCTTAATCAGGTAAAGAGGCTTCGTTTAACAAAATCTGCAGGGCAAGAAATGGGAATAAAAATTCTTCGGTAGCCCGAATCTGCGAATGAAACGTCATCGCTTTGTGGATGCAGGGGGTGTTGGAACATCATGAAGGGATAGTGGACTACTTCAACAGGAATGGAGTTCATGCAATTTTCCTGTTCAGGAGGAACCTGATTCGGAGGTTGATATCTGTGCTGGCCAATTCCTATGATAAGAGCAAGAAACCTTTGAATGGTACCCACAAGTCTCATGTCCATTCAGTCGTCGAGGTACTCGTCTTAAATTCGTTAATCTCGTCAATTTGATCTTCGGTACAGTTTCATAAGAACATAATTTTTCGCAGGCCAAAGTTCTGGCCAAGTACAAGCCATCTTTGAATGCATCGACATTGTTGGCAGAGCTAAAGAGCGTCGACAGTAGAGCTGCGAGGGCGATTGGGTACTTCAAGTCCACCCGCCACATCGTCCTCTACTATGAAGATGTCGTTGGAAATAGAACAGTAAGCGAAAACAATAAACCTATGTATCATCTATTGTCAAGTTGAACATTTTAACCAGTTTCGCTTCTTTTGCAGAAACTGAAAGAGGTGCAGGACTTTCTCGGATTGCCCTACAGAGAACTAACGAGCCGTCAGATTAAGATACACAGCGGAACATTAGCAGAACAGATAGCAAACTTCGAAGAAGTCCAGACGGTGTTGAAAGGAACGCCATACGAATCCTTTCTTCATCAGGATTACGGAGAGATGTAGGCTGTTTTCACTTTTCTTTTTGATCAGGTGTAGATAAAAATAACCCCCCTGGCTACTGCCTCAGTTTCAGAAAGTTCTTTTCTTGTTCTCAATTGTTTCTGGAAACATGATTAGTTAAAGTAGCATGAGAAGATGAATCAATCTCCATTTCTTCCAATTCTTCACTACCATGTGTCGAGCAAGACAGTCAATTCTAACCATGAAGAGCATTGTATCTTGGCGTCGACTCTAATTAGCTGAGAGATAGAAAAGTAAGTTACATATATACAGAGTTCATAAACCCAGGAAGAGGTGAAGGCTGAAGGGTTAGTGGAGAACTAACTTTCAAATTCTCTGCCGCGATTCTCTTTCCTGGTTCTGTGCTTCTAAGATTAATGATGTTACAACATACAGCAAAATCTAGATCAACAAGAGATCAGGGAGAGACTGATCCGTTAGTTGCTGCTGCTCCTACCCCTGGTACTTCCTCTGTCCTTCTAATCACGAAATGGTCAACTATCTTGACCGAATTCACCGGATCCTGTTGGTAAGCCGCAGCGCTCCATTTACTAGGGTACTTCCGGTGATGGCTCATCTGCTGTGCCTGCCTTGGCTCTGCATCCCAATGTGGATCTAGCTGCCACTCCTTGGGGACCTGCATTACGACGGAAAAAGGTTTAATTTTCCGTAGCATTGTTCCAATTGATCATGTATCAAGGCATTGTTCGAATAAAATGGAGATTTTTAGTACCTTGTCGACAGCAAGAGTGAATATTTCGAGATCCCCAGCTCTGTCGATGTGTAATCTGGTAAACGACTTGTAATTTGCAATACGAAGGGAAGAGAAGGCTTCATCAAAGTGAATCTGAAGCCAATTAATGCAAATGTACAAGTAACTTCCAAAGACGAATGAGACGATTGGTGTCGAGAAGACCCAAAAGTAGAGGAAGACGGAAGCATAGTAAATGATTGCACCTCCTCTCGACAGTGCTTCGGCACCATTCTTGCATATATTATTACGTGTGACAGCCATGACCTCAGGAACATCAAAAGCAGACATCAAGTACTTTATGCACGCAGGGTAAAGCCCGAGCGTCCATTGTTCTATCCTATCTCGAAGACCGGTGGGGTCAGGAAAGTGTTCTCTCTCCACTGCTCTGTACCACTCGTATAAAGTGTGGTATCCTAAGGGGAGAAAAGGATCCCGAGTCAGAAAGAAGCTACTACAAAAAGCCAATTCAACCGAAGCCATCAGTAGGGTAGGTAGTGAGAGAGAGCGAGAGAGATCATGCCTGATGTAGCGAGTAAGTTATGACGAATGCATGTCTCGATACCAAGTTCCAAGAGCAACATGAGGACAAGGGCTGATGCAAGATGTGCAGAGAAATGAAGAATTCCAATCATGGCACGTTTCTTCCATGACATCTTTGATGGGACAAATGTAACTGCTGCTATCAGCAATCCCAGAGCACCAAGCAAGGATACATGAGAGTGTTGTAGCAAGTAAAGAAATTCATTCCAAACTGTGCCAAAGAAACTCCATATGTGGCCCGAAAATGTATCACTTTGCAAAATGACGTCAAGGTTACACTAGACATGAAGAAGAGATTAATAAAGTCAGTCAATCCATACAGCAAAACGGCATATGAATACTAATTTATGGTAGTAAACGTTATGATACGCGAGATGGTAGGAGAATGGCCATGTAATGTTCTGATTACCTGAGGGAACATGGAAAACCCCAGCAGAAAGTACAAAATGCCGCCAATGAAATCGAATTGCCAGTTCTTCTTACGGAACTTCAAAATATTCCCCAAAGCAATCTGTGTGATATCAACGATAGAATCAAGAAACAAAGTTGACTCAAAGGGATGCATGAAGAGAAGATTTTGAGGGACTTATTTACCCTGCCAGAATCTTCTAGAGATGGATAAGCGGCCTTGGTATCATAGGTAGCTCCATATGCTTTCTTGAAGCCACCAAAGACATGGGTGGGGTGTAAAAAAGCACCACCACAGCCATTTACAATTAGATGTTGCACATCAACTGGGCCATCTGAAGGTACATGTGAATGACGCATGTAATGATGCAAATCTCCGGCCATCCGAAGCTTGCACCTTCCTTTCAGATAGTCATGTACAAGATGTGTGACATTCTTCCCAGAAACATCATTCCAGTACCAATCAAGAAGCCAATTTGGTTCATGGGTAATGATGATCACAGAGTCATTTTCTCCTACCTAATTGAGGGAGTAGCAATGTGCATAATCATCAGTTGATCAGAAAGGGAACTGGAAAACAGAAATAGAGAGCAATAGATAGGTTCCACCAGAGGCACAAGCCTATAAAAGCTAATACCCTTTGCCGACTGCAAAATATCTATGCTACTGATATAGGTAATAATGAACTACAAACATCACGTGGCACACCATTTCAAGAACTAGGAAATAACACATGATGGTGGAGATCTCCTGCAGATATGCCTAATTTTTTTACAGAAAAGACCCAAGGCTGAGCCTAGAAAGAAACTCGATGTGCAATTTTCCCTATACAGGGAGAGGAGAGAAATGCCATGTAAAAGGAACTCTTTAACACGGGAAATACAAAAGCTGCTTGCACAAGAAGAGTTCAGGGGAAGATATTTATTCTGATGTCAAATGAACCATGAATTATCTAAACCTGACACTATCATGCTCATACACTTACACAATTTAGCAGCACAATATATTCAAATGGTCAAGGAAAAGAAAACAGACCTTCTCTTTCACTACTTCTGTAAAGAATTTGAACTGGTACACATCAATATCATTATGGAGTGCAAGATCGAGACCAAAAACCCACCACCCTTTAGGAAGTTGCAAAGCGAAATAACTCTTTTTCTGGGGCATAAACCATCCACCCAGCCAGCTTTTATGACATATGTACCTCATGAAAGTATGAAGCCCATCGAACCAATCTGTAATGGTGAACATAGAAGCACTATGAACTAGCTCTGAAAACCTTCTACAAAAGTAGTTTAATCAGGTAACAAATAAATACTCACCATGGTTTCCAGGAATGACAAAGCATTGAGGTCCGTCATACTGTTTAAGTTCAGACACCCCATGGGGTAACTCAGGCTTGTGCACTGCAACTTGGTCCTCTTTGTACCAGGAAGGTGGTTGCAGAGCATACTCAAAGGGACAAAAGAGGCGCCTTTGGTATGTGAATGCCGAAGGATTAGGATATCTGCAATGAAATCACTAGATCATCAGTGAAATTGAATATAAGCTATATAACACAAATTCGAACTGGATGATAAGAAGTTACCCTTATAATTAGAAAATGACAAACAAAATAATGACTAATTCAATCATTCTCAAAATTTCAGCATCAGAAAGTACAATTAACTTACGCAAGATCCCCTCCCACAATAAGTAACTTTGCTCTGGGCAGAGAGAGCACAGAATCACCTGTGCTAACCCTAAGAGACGGTTGAGCAAGTAAGCGTGCAACACTGTAGGTTGAGTTCCCACCATCACCTGTATCAGCCATGAAATCAAACCACAGATCGTCTTGTTTGCTAAGATGATCATAGAAATGGTCTGATTTAACTCCATCTTGCACCTTGTTCATTGCTGCCTGATATTGCAAGAAAATGGATATCTCACTCTTCATGCAAACAAGATAATTTTTAGAACCCAAAGAGAATGTTATGCATGCCCTTTCAGTACCAACCATAAGTTGACAATAGGGAGAGAAGTTAAATGCATTCATTAACTTATCCTGACACGGTACATATGTTCAAAAAGCTTTGCACATATGGAGGGCCTTATCAAGAGTGATCTCTTTAATCTCAAGAAGCCCTTAAGACCATGAAAACACACATATTGAAGCTACAATAAGAGTGGTTCTCAGAAACACGGGGGAGGGGGGGGGGGGGGGGGGGGGGGGGGGAGCTTATCAATTTATGATTAGGCAATTTGCTAACATACCTGCATCATGCGCATGTCAAATCGACCGACAAATACAGTTACTGATACCAAAAGGTCAAACAGTGTCTTGAATAAATCAGCAGAGGTTCTGCAACATGTAGTTCACTAGCACAGTAAGGATAAAAAAAAAATTCAAATATCTTTTTGAATGATGAGATGTTGTCACATCAAAGAAAACCGATGCCAGGGAAATAGATAATATGTGAACATACCCTGAATACCAAGGAACCATATCCAGAAAGTCTGGCGTCATCTGCTTCTTCTTCAAATTCTCATACTCTTTAACTGATAAAGGGTGAGTAAGAGCCCACCTGTCCATACAAAGTGTTCAGATATTTGTATTAATGCTTTTTTGGAAAAAAGATTATGATACTGTCAATGTCAAGTGTAACCAACGGAGAGAAACCTACTAACCGAAACAAGGAAAACAATCAGCACTCACCCAGTTGACCTTTCCACCACATAGTTAGCGATATAAAGACCAATAAAGGTAGCCCACAATGAATATATAGGAGAAATATTATCAGATGAGGCTGCACATTCATCCCCGCTGCAACCTATCTACAAAATGAAGAAATGAAGTGAAAGTAAGTAAAACAGCAGATCACAGCAATCGTGTCAATAAAAAACTCCGACAATAGAATGTTTATCTACCTCTCCATAGAGAACCCATTTTGATAAAAGTGGATAATCACTTGCAGATCCAACAGGTGCAAACCAAGACGAGCAGACCTGGTCTTTTAATTCGTTCATGCGGATAAATTTAGCTAGCCAGGTATTGATCTCTCCCTTCTTCCTAAAAGGAAACCAACTAGAAAGGCTTCTCTGAAGGGGTCTATCTTTCATCAGAGCCTGGTTTCCACAATGGCTATAAAACACACAGCAGGCTACGCTGAGAACCTATGCAACAAATGACAAAGAAAAAAAAAAAAAGGATCAGGGTGTTATCCTAACACAAGCCAATACAATTGAACGCAAAGAAAATGATGGGAGAAAGTCTTACGGCGCAATTTTGGAAGATGGTCAATATCTCTGGCTGTTTTGCAGCAACACGAGAAACAAGACCGAGATGCCATAGTCCAAGAAATATAATGTGGAATACAAGAAGAAACACGATCGAGGACACATATATAGTCATGAACAAGGACAAATTCATCCTCATATCTACTCCCATTGACTGAAAACTAGGGAGATGATATAGGGCTGCAACTAAAATCCAAGCCGTATACCTGCCGAAGTAAATACCGAAAAACTCATTACTACCCATATACAATTAGCACTTAGCAAAAGGTTTTAGAGCTAGGCAGCACTTACCACCAACTGAAGTTTGAATAGCTAGGTTTGATTGTCTTCCCTAAGAAGGGTGACGTGAAGAAATAGAAGAAACCGAGCAGGCAGGCATACATGGACCACCATTTGACATTATTGTCCAGCTTCGCTATAAGGGTATGCATGTTATCTGAAGATATAAAGAAAAGACAACCCACCACCACCGCGATGATGGCGTGCCTCGAGTGCTCATGCGGATAAGGGTATGTATGCGTGAAGATGGTCCTCACCCTCTCCATTCTTAAGGTATCCAACAAACCTAAAGAATGCTTGTCCTTGCCCATCGGCCAATCTTGTAACTACAACAAGGTTTTGGGAGGGGAAGGATTTTCTGGAAGCCAGACTCTGGTGAGCGCCAAAATCACCACAGAGACCGGCTCCAGAATGCTGCAATGGAAGACCAATAAAGAACAAACCAAGGAAATTGGTTAGATATACACACAAATTCATGAATTTGCCTGAATTACACAGACAAATTCATGAACTCCCCGCTAAAAACACATAAATACATTCATGCATCCGAAACATAAAAAAATAAATCCCACAATCAGGAAGAACAAGGCTAAAGCAAACAGAGAATACGAAAACCGTGCTTGCTTCCCTGATTAAACCCCCAGCATTACAATACACAACCCCTATTGCCGTCGTCTAAACACTCTGCAAAACCCAAAACGGAAAACTACAATTGAAGTAATTACATAACGGGGCTACGGTATTCATCATCTTCCCAGCATCTAAGCAGAGCAGCTTTAGGGTTCTCAAACAAAAATATTCAAACATGTACACAATCCAGCCGGGAAATTTCGAACTCGGCCCCTACCCATTGCTGGAAATCGCTAACAATGGAAGAAGCTAACTAACCCATCTCCGGCGAAAGAAAAAAAAAATCAAAGGGAAAGCAAGTAATGGCGCGGAAGTACCTGAAAGATAAGAGGAGGCGAGGATCAGGGCGAGCAAGAATGCGAGAGAGAAATTTGGGGGAAAAGGGGAGAAAGAAATGAATTTTGTTAACAAAAGGGAGGTACAATTAGATTTAAGGACCGACCAAAGCAGCTGCGTTGCCCTGCCAACCGCAATCTCAGAATGTTTATGAGTGGAACAAAAACCATGGCTATATGGCATATTCTGCTTCGCCTTCCACGCACTTTCTTTCTTTCCCCTCCAATTTCCCTTTATTTTTGTCCTTTTAATAACAATCTTCCCTTCTTTTTTTTTCCATTTTCATTTTATGAATATTGGTTTTTCACCTTCGACCTGTCCTTGTTTGCATTTCTTTTTCACATTATAATATAGTTAATTTCATGTTTGAAAACTAGTAACACGTTGATGTACGTCTTGATCACCATGTTTGTTAATGTGGTTAGTTTTAGTGACTACAAATAAATATTATTATACGTAGGAAAAGAAGTCACGAAAATATTATGAAATTCACCCGACTTAAATCAAACACTTTGAAAATACTATACTATTATAAAATCACAAGAGGATGGTTACATTCGTCCTTTACCATACCAATACCAATTTCATAATCTGAATTAGGTATGTATGAGTGCCCTGTGATTAGTGCCCCAAAAAATATGAATGTGATAATCAGTTAGAGACACAACAAGACAATAAATAAAGAGGACTTTTATTTATATAAATAGATAATCTAGATGAATAAAGTAGACTTTTAATTGGACGGTGATACTTTATTTTATCAATTGCTCTTTTTCTTTTTTTCCTTTTTTCTGGTTTTGGGCTTTTGGATTGGGTCCATAATTGCATCTACGTGGTGATGATGTTTGATGCATATCCCAATGATTGTTAGCTTTATATCTCAGAAGATGGACGTGTATTTTTGGTGTTAAGCTAAAAGTTAACTCGGTTCCAACTCCGGGTTATGTCTCGCTTAATGATGCAATCAATTAGACAACGTAATTAAGCTAAGCTAAGCTAGAGATGTTAAGTATCCGATCCAATTACTTGAGACGGAAGTCATTGACTAATAATTTTCCAAGAAATGGTCAGTGCTACTGGAAAGCAATACGTGGCGCGTCATGGCACCTGAAAACTGGAACTCCTCTTCCAACACGACACGACAACAAACAATGAACCAACTAATTGTTACGGCTTTGCTTCTTTTTCTTTAAACTGCGCTTTTAATTTTTTTTTTTTTTTTTGGTGAAAAACTGCGCTTTTAATTTGAGAGCAGCAATTTGCCGACCGCTGAGGCCTGAAGAGGCCCGAGGCCGACAGAGAGAGAGAGAGAAAGAACAGAGCGGGCGGTGGTGGAGGTGTGCACATGTGCAGCAGCACTCTGCATAATTTAACGAGCCCTACGTTGTTTTAGCAGACAGAGAAGAGAAGGAAAGAAAAGGGCGCGAAAGGAATAGTTACGATTACGAGGAGGAATAAAGAAATGAATAGTTATTTGTAGCCTGTAGTTATAAAAAATATGATGAATTTGTCTCATTTTTAATTTAAAACACTAAGCCTATCTATTCCCAACCCAATCTCTCACCTCCCCTTCCTTCTCTCCCACTTCCGCTGCTCCCACCCACAAATCGCCGCCGGCCGGTCGAGACTCTGTTGCCGTCCACCACACTCCGTCGCCATCCACCTTGCACCCTCTGTCTCCAGCCACCAAGGACCGCAGTTGTCGCGAGCCCGCTGCCCCACGTCAATCATCATCACCTCCGCAACTCAGAGCCGCCGTTGTCACCATCTTCAATAGGTATTTTCGGGTTGCCGCCGGTAACTGAGAGAAGCTGTGGTCTGCCTGGTCAAGTCGGAGGCGGTCCGCCTGGATTGGTCGGACACCGTCCGCAGGTTAGGTCAGACCGGTTTGGTCAAATTCTGACCGGTCCGATTTGACCAGGTGCTGGCCGGATCAATTGAATATATTTTTATTTTAGCAAAAAACACTATTTAATTGATATTTAGATTACTAATATTTAATTGTTACTAAATCGTAAATGTAAGATAGTGATGATGTTAAATAGTGTTTGTAATTTGTTAATTATTTAATTGTGTGAATGTTCAATTTTCCAATAGTTAAAAAGATATAACATTGTGAACAAATTATAGAAATTCAATTGTTAGTATATAATTGTTAGTTAAATAATGAGTATTTAATTGTGCAAATGTTTGATTTTTCAATTATGGACAAATCTTCTATTTAAATTTGTAAATGTTAAATTTGGTAAATTAGTTAGTTAAATAATTAGTATTTAATGTTAGTTAAATAACTATTTATCATATTTAATTAAAGTATCAAAAACTATATGTCGTATTTTGTAAAATAATAGTCTATCGTATTTAGTGAAATAACTATCTAACTAAATTAATTAGTTAATAATTTGTATATCATAATTAGTCTATGATAATAATAAAAAATTGTGAAAAATTGCTCAAAAATTAATTTATTATAAGATATTAATATATAATTATTTACTATGTATAGAGATGGCGTCAGGTGGTGATGCTGGAGGAAGAGAAAATAAATTGTGGAGACTTGATGGGCGTGACATTAGTATGAGTAAGAGAAATAAGAAGTCAAAGCGTAAAAATAGGTTGGGGGAGCAGTCAGAGCCTGAGAATGAGCCACAACCACATCAGCTAGAGCCACCGATGAGATTGAGGGCAGATGGCTTTCCTCAGTTTAATTTTCAGTTGCCTAGTATGGTTGGTAGTAGGGGTGTTCAAACAGTGGTTACCGTGGTAACCGTTCTAACCGGTAGTATTTGGATAATTTGGTTTGGTTAATTTGGATAATTAGTTTGGTTTGGTTAAATTTTTAGCTTGTTTGGTTTAGGTGGTTTGGTTTGGTTTCAGACACTCCTAACCGATCAAACCAAATTAACCAGTTAAGTAATTAGCTATATATCTAATATATTATATACACATACTTAATACTTTGCACAACCACCCAAGAGTCAAGTGTAAGATAATTGTATTAGTTACATGTATATAGTTTAAGGGTTAACTAACCAAAAAAATTTATCACTTAATGATAATGTGATGGTATATTGGTTACTTTGATTAACCAATTAACCAAACCGATTAAACTTTAGCTTGGTTAATTTGGTTGTCGTATTAGTTTGGACGGTTTGGTTATGGTATTGTGTTTCATGGTTAATAGAATTTAGACTTATTTGGTTTGGTAATTAACATGGTAACCATTAGAACACCCCTAGTTGGAAGTGGAGGTCGTTCCAGTCACAACTTTGGGACAGGGATCAGCATACTTCACCATTTGAGCCTTCAGACGAGATTGACGACGAGTCTGAGCAGTATGAGCCGGATTCTGTTGAGGATCGCATTCCACGAGGCAGTCCGATCAGAGATAGAGGTGCAGCCAGCGGATCATCACACGCAGTCACTGGGTTTTATAGAGACCATGCAGGGCGTTTCTACAGAGCTCCACAGCCTGGTGAGGGTCAGAGAGGTAATGCTAATGTGGCTACATGGGCGTTGGGTCGTGCTTGGGCCGGCACGACACGGACACGCTTCAGGCCCATTTATTTCATGTCGTGCTTGGTATAGCCCATCAGTTTTTCGTGTCGTGCTGTGTAAGCCCATTTGTTACTTTTTCTAGGCGCGGTCCGGGCTCGGTTTGAATCGTGTTGTGCCTACTCGTGCTCGTGTCATGCTCATATTTTTGTTTAACGAAAATGGAAAAACTAAAAGAGGGAAATGAAAAAGAAGGAGAAAATTGGACGGAGAATGAAAGTATTAACCGAGAATGTTTGAGAAACGTAACAACAAAGGGGAAAAGAAAATTGGAAGTATAACGAATGTTATGGTAGTAATTACGTATATATCTTAATGATCACTTCTAACAATAATAAATAATTATTTTTGTACTTATATTTGTAATATTTGAACCTATTATTCTTTTCATATTTATTTTTTATCAAGTTAATATTCTTTTTGTGCTATGTCTGTTCTTATACTCGATAAGGTTTTGAAAATATTAGGCTCTCCACGACCCATTTACATATCGTGTCGCGCACGTGCTCATGCCCGTGCCAATGAAGTTTAGGCTCGGCACGGCCCGTAAAGAATTTGTGCTCGTGCCGGGCTAGCCCATATATTTCATTCTCGTGCTCGTGTCGTCCTCTAACCGTGTCGTGCCGTGCAAGCCCGTGGGTGGCCCGACCCGGTGCCCACGTACATGTGGGAGAGGGGTGAGAGCTTAGAGGACCGTGTGCTGGAGGGTCGAGCGATCCGAGTTTGCTACGGAGCTTTCTTGGGCATGTTGCCCACCCTCTTCACACATGACAAGCTGATAGAGGGGTGATCGCTTGCTACTATATGAGTTTGACACTTCAGCACGTTCTACAGCGTTACGTGATCGCAGATTCTCATGCTAGGGGTACCGTAGAGACATCAGGCCTTGCTCACCTCGCACATATCACATTTCAGAGCGAGCTGGACACTCCTCTCATATCGCCATTGTGGAGAGGTGGTATCCGGATACCAACACCTTCCACATTCCGTTTGGAGAGATGACGATCCTCCTTTACGACGTGGTGCACATCCTTGGCATTTCGATTGAGGGAGAGGCGATGGCAGTGGATCCGAGGCAGTTGGAGAAGAGGTCACTGGAGGATGACATGCGAGCACTATTGGGCGTGGATCGTGTGGATTTGGACCAGGGGGCTCAGGTTGGAAAGGTTGTCAGATATTCTAAGTGGTACAGAGGGCATGGTTTGTTGGGTGTGGCAGCTTTGGCACATTTGCAGGAGGTTGGTCTGCCAGCTAGAGAGGCTCAATGTTACCTTCTTCTGCTTCTAGGGTCCACACTAATCGTAGATAAGAGTAAGGACCGAGTTTCTTCTCTAATCAACTTGTTTGTGAAGAGACCGAAGATGCTGGGAGAGTACGCATGAGGGGCTGAACACTTGCTTTTCTATAGAGGCAGCTTGGAATTGCCTCATGGGCGGAGGCTAAGGGAGTGGCAGGTTGTCTGACTTTACTACAGTGTTGGATTTACAACCACTTTCCTACCTTGAGGCCTAGTCGGTTGGAGCCACGACAGCTGGAGCAGGGGCAGGCAGGGGCACTCAGGTGGTGCGGTATCTCACCTCATTCGACAAAGAAGAAGGATACACTCATGTTGGCTTATTATTGTGAGGCGATTGACGATTTGACCCCGCAACAGGTTGTTTGGACTCCTTATGGTCCAAGGCCTCATCTGAGCCTGAGACGTAGCTTGTATAAGGGCATGATAAGATTTGCAGAAATAGTAGAGCCACGTGACCCCACTAGATGCCTTCGACAGTTAGGCTACATGCAGAGTATGTCGTATCAGCCGGAGCATCCGCTTATCGTGAGTCGACCCGCTTCCACGATTGGATACTCTCTTAGCTACCAGTCTATTTATGATTCGTGGTGAAACAACCTGGGGAACATAGTGCGCATCTGTAATTTTTTGTACTCCGGTACAACGTAGGCCATGGGAGGTTACTAACGACTACTTGGAGTGGTACGTAGGCACTCGCACCCACAGATACTGAGTGATAGCCGACCTCGTCACGAGTTCACGTATGCTGATGCGGTTAGTACAATCATATTTGAAATTTCTTATATTAAGTAAAGATATGTTTGATTGCAACTAATATGTACTTAAATTGTCTGGTTTTTTCTTACAATTGGGATGCGAGATGTGGATGGAGATAGCTCCCGTGATGGATGGTGCATAGGGTAGCAAGGACGAGTGGCATGCTATGTCCGATGAGTACTATTACTTATGTCATGGAGTTGGGAACATGTGGTCCGAGTTCAGGGGGAGGTCACGTTTTCTACCACCTCCACAGTAGTTTGATGTTTGTTATGTGACTATTTATGAGTGTCGTTTGTTGTTTTTAGATTGACTTATGTTATTCCATTGTTCTCCTACGACTTATGTTATATTCTGTTGTTCTCCTACGACTTTTATTATTCCATGTATCTGACTATGACTTATGTGTTGTACTTGTGATGTTTTTATTATATCACGTAGTAAAAACAACACGTTTCTTACATTCTTGCGCTAGGGTTTTTGCTCTGAGTTTCCCGGAAATAAGTTTTTACGATCATAGTAGACGCGCTAGGGTTTTACCTTCGCATGGGGGCGAAGCCGCCGTCAGCGGTGCTGGTGATGAGCGACAAGCCCCTTGATACGGCAAGTGGGGCCCGACGGCCGGCTGAGGTATCTTCTTCCGCGGATGGTAAGAGTAGGAATGGCAATGGGGCAAGTCCGGGGCGGGTATCTCGATACCCATACCCGCCACATGGCAGGTCGGGTCCAGGTCGGGTAATTTATCACGGGACGCGGGTCGGGGCAGGTCGACCCATTGGGTATGTAATTTATGTGAAAAACATTAGAAATATTCCTTCTTTTCATTGAAAGACCAAGAAAGAAATCATAATATGATAAAATGTAGTTAAATTATTGAAGAATTTGAGGTTTTCACTTATTTACAACTTTATTATAGCTAAAATATAATGTAATTAGAGGAAAATCTTAAGTAATTTGACTAAGATTATATGTGATTTAGGCAATAACGGGTCGAGAATGGGTCGGGTCAGGGCAGGTCGGGTCGATGAGAGGTACCCATGCCCGCCCCGCCCCGCCTACGGGGCGGGTTTAACCCGCCCCAAAACAGGTCAAACAGGTCGGGTGAATCGGGTCAGGTCGAAATTGCCATCCCTTGGTAAGAGTGTGACGTAGACTGTGCAACCGAAGAAGAAGGTTCGAACTTTGAATTTTGAACAAGATCAGGTTAGTGTTGAGGACATAAAGGCCACAGAGATGGATATTGAGAGTGGAGGACAGCCTAATCAGTCTACCTGGGGACCTGGATTATTCAAGGAAGTTCTACAACATGATGCTTGGTATATCGCTGATTCGGACTCTGAGGACGTGGCCTTGGCTGAGAAGGAGATGGACGATGAACTGGATGAGGACAATTATGATCCTAAGTGTCCACCGATTATGTTTACTGCGGCATAAAAGGTAAAATGGCGTCGGGAGTGGAGATCAACCTTAGTTGTTAAGGGCATTGGCCGAGGGTTTCTTTCCTGCTGCTGTCATAATGACTAAATTTCCTCTGGGCACGAAACGGGGAGATACAAATTTCGGATATGAAGAATGGTTGTTTCATGGTATGTGATAACGTCGTATTTGCACATGTTTGCACCCTCGTTTCTTGATCATTTTGGCTTGAGTTTTTGCTCTCTTGGACTATTTTACGCTAGGTTGTGTTCCTTTGTCACATTTCAGGTCCTAGCATGTAAATTGAAGAAAATGCGCAAGTTTCAAGTCAATCGGAATTCATTTGGCAATTTGGGAGAAGAAACACTAGCATGCCCTAAGTAATAATGGATTTCTACCTCATTTTATGAAAAAATAATCATGGAAGTTTGTTATGAAAAGAAATAGGACGAGACTACGAGCGTCTGGGTTCAAACGGCGACTGATTCGGAGTCCGGACGAGGGAGAAACGAAGCATTAAACAGGAGCGGAGGAAGAATTACGGGCAACCCCTGCCCAATTACGGGCGCAAATTCTTCTGTCATGCCTGTAAATGCAATGCCGAGCCTAAATCCCTAAGAATTCCTGTCGCAGAGTAATTACGGGCAAGAGTGGACTCATTTACGGTCGTAATTACATAAATACTGGCAGTAATTCAGCCCGTATTTTGGGTGAATTACGGGCAGACCATGATTACGACCATAATTCAGCCCGTATTTCACCCAGAATCGGGTTTTTTAGGCAGATTCGAGCCAAAGGAGAGAGAGTCGACTTTTTGGAGCAAAAACAGAGTTTTAGAGAGAGAAAGTGCGAAGAACAAACCCAAGGAGCTATTTGGAGTGGATTTCTCACCATTGAAGCCCAGATTGCATCCACAAGAGTGAAGATCATCATCCCAGAGCAGATTATCCTCATCATTATGAGTATGACTACTCTGATTTCTGTTGTCCTCTCTCTCTCTCTCTCTCTCTCTCTCTCTATGGAGTAGAACCTTCTCTCACTTGGGTATGAAGAACCCTAGTTCCATGTGTTAGGGATCTTGATTGTAATGACTTGGGATTGTTATACTGTTTGATTTTAATCGATTGATGCATGATTTATTGAGTCAATTGAAGTCTGATCATCTTTTCTTGATTTCTGTTGCAACCTGAGATAGATAAAATCTGATTAGGTTGTTAGAGCTTCATCAATCGGTAGGGGTAGATTGATTATACGAGAATTAATCGATTTACTGCTTTGTACTGGAATCCAATTCCAGGAGTGGAGTTCTGCGTTTATAGCCTCAGCTTTCTATCCCGGTGAAGACTAGTCGTCTGCCGGGTAGTTGGACTGAGAGGGCTTGGTCAGCTTAAGAGATTCCAAGCTACTGTCGGATCTTCCGCAGTTTAATCAATAGTTAATCAACCCAGGGTAATTACAACCTCGACCTAACTAAGGAGCTAGGGGGACTCATTCCCGAGTGACTCTTCCCTTACTAAAGAACTTTGAACCAATTTCCTGCTTTCTTATTGCTTTTAGTTAAAATCACAATCACTCGACTTAGTTTTCTAGATAATAGATATTCACGGAGTAGGCAGTAGATCTAGACCCCGGGTTGACAATTAGAGCTTGCCTGTTACTGCATTTCCGGACTGTGATTACACTTGGTCGCAGTTTGGTGTTGTGTTTTAGCGTATCAGTATGGTTTAGGAATCAGAAGGACTATGACTTCGCGATTGCTGGTGGACCACGGTTGCTGGGCGACACATACCTTACTGTTCATCGTTGCTACATGGGTTTTAACCCATGGAAGGCGGAGGTCAAGTCAACAATGGTCTAGGTGCAGCTGCCTGAGTTTCCTATTGAGTTCATCAACAAGGAGGTAGTTTTACGTATCGGGGACACAATTGGGAAACCTATTCCTATGGACAGGGCTGCTGAGTTGGGAGCTAGGGGAAGTATGCTCGTGTGTGCGTAGAAGTTGATATGACCCAGCCTTTGCTCTCGCAATGAAAGATTGAAGGGGTCACATATTTGATAAAATACAAGGGTCTCGACAATATATGCACTAATTGCGGGTCCTATGGTCAACCTACAGATAAATGTAAATGTTGCTACCTGATCCAGGAGATGGAAGAGGAGGAGGTGGAGAAAACGGGAGGCGAGGTACGTGGAAATCCATCTATGGGAGACCCGACTAATGGTCAGGTTTACGATGAATGGATGATGGTGAGGCGGAGGGACAAGCGTTCGGCTAGGCAGGCTAATGAAAATAAGGTCATGGAAAGGAAAAAGGAGAGGGTCAATAGATTTGCGTTTTGCATGATGATGGAACCCCTGACGAAGCTGAAATGGAGACCAAAAATGAGCGCCAACGGGCAAACCCAGGCCATGCACGTGAACATGAGGCAAACCATGCATATGGGGTTGTTGAACATGGGAGTAAGGAGGGACAGAAGAGTGTGGATGCGGAGAATGGGATCAAGGTGGCGAATGATAAAGGGAATTCAGGGACTTCCAATGACAAGCTCAGGATGAATAGAAGAAATGATCAATGGGGAAGGCCCCTAATAATGGAGTTTATATAGCCAATACAATGGGGGGAGGATTGGTCAAACAAGGGCATGGGATGAGCTCAAAAGCTACAGGCGGCAATGGACATAGCGGAAAGCAGGAGAGTAAGAAAGGTAAAGAGAAGTCGAGTGGTAAGGTTGGAGCTGATGGTGCGAAGAACCTATCCCCTCCAGTGGTTAGATGAGGCTAATAAGTTATAAATGCCGCGGACTGGGGAATAAGCATGCATTTAATGCTCTGAAGTCGATGCTGCGACTAACTTCCCCACATGTTGTGTTTCTCATGGAAACCCGACAATTAGCTGATGAGAACGAGAAGACAAGGCTAGAGCTTGGCTTCGCTAAGGGGGATTGCTTTCCAGCGGACACCTCTCGCGGTGGCAAGGCGGGTGGTTTGAGTATATGGTGGTTAGATGAGGTGAATATGTCTAAAATGGATGCATCCCTTCATCATCTGGATATTCGAGTGGTTGAAGAGGATGGTTCAATCTGGAGATTTACTGGGGTCTATGGTTGGTCGGAACAGGGAGAGAAAAATTTGACATGGGAGCTTCTTGGGAGACTCTCTCAGCAATGGGATGGTCTGTGGTTATGTGGAGGGGACTTCAATCAGGTTCTATCAAGCTTAGAGAAGACTGGGGGGGTACCGAGTTCAAGAATCTGGTATGCGAGATTTTTCGAATTGCTTGGTTGAGACGGATCTGCACTACTTGGGGTTCCAAGGTTACCCATATACTTGGGAAAATAGACTGATAATGGGTGGCTATATTGAGGAGAATAGATTGTTTTGTGGCCAATGACAAATGGAGCAAGTTATTTGGAGAGGTTAGGGTAAGCCATCTTGATCGGAACATATCTGATCATCACCCCATTAGCATGAGTACTCAAGGAATAGAGGATAAGGAAGTTCGATGGGGATGGTCGTTTAAGTTTGAACCTCATTGGACAAGACATGAAGAATGTGGTAAAGTGGTGGAAGAAGCATGGAGTGATGGGGCATTGGATACGATTGGACGACTGGATAGAGTACGAGGGAGGCTGGATGCGTGGAGTCGGGCGACCTTCCCAAATTTTGGGAGAAAGAAGGACCGCATCAAGCGTGCATTACGAGCTCTGGACCGGATGCCGGTCTCTGACCAGGTGTTAGGCCAGCGCAAACAACTTCTCTCTGAAATGGAACAGGTGGAGGCCGATGAATAAGAGTTTTGGAAGCAGAGGTCGAGAGCGGGCCGGTTAAAGGAGGGAGACAAAAATACAAACTTCTTTCATAGGAAAGCTACATCTCGAGGGAAGCGGAACACGATAAGGAAATTGAAAGATGAGATAGGAAGATGTCACGCTGGTCAAGAGGAGTTATTCGGGTGCCTGGCGAGCTATTTTGGGAAGTTGTTCACAGATGGGGACCGACCGCTAGCAACCCCTGTCCTAGACTCGGTCTCGCCAAAGGTTACTAATGAGCATAATGAGCCCATGCTCAGGGATTTTACCCAAGATAAAATCTATGCGGCGCTCAGGCAAATGGGAAGAAGAAAGGCCCCAGGCGAGGATGGAATGTTGGTTCGTTTCTACCAAAAGTATTGGAACGTGATCGGTGATGAGGTAACAAAGACAATTATGGAGGCATTGGCGACTGGGAGTCTCCCACCAGGTTTAAACCATACATTGATCGCCCTAATTCCGAAGGTTAAAAAGCCGACCTAGTATAAGGATTTTTGCCCAATCATCCTTCGCAATGTGTTCTACAAGATCATATCGAAGGTGATTGTGAATATAATGAAGAATGTGCTATCTACGGTTATTTTGCAGGAGCATAATGTATTTGTCCCGGGAAGATTCATTACTGACAATGTTATGACTGCGTTTGAGTGCTTTCATTCCATGAAAACCGCATCCAAAAAACATGGAAGCTTCTTCGCAGCCAAAACAGATATGGCAAAAGCATATGACAGGGTAGAATGGTGGTTCTTAGAGGAGATTATGAGGAGGCTTGGTTTTGCGGAACAGTGGGTGCAACTGGTGATGATGTGTGTTAGATCAGTGTCCTACTCGTTACTGGTTAATAGACATCGTTCTCCTGTTTTCTAGCCGACTAGAGGATTGAGGCAGGGGGACCCACTCTCTCCCTATCTTTTCCTGTTAATTGCGGAAAGATTATCAGCATATACGGCTAAAGCTGTTCAGGAGGGCCGACTCCATGGATTGAGTGTGGCAAGCGGAGCCCCAGTGATATCCCACTTATTTTTCGCTGATGACTCTATCCTTTTTGCCAGGGAAACAATACATGAAGGTAAAGCATTTAAGAAGATCCTAACTGACTATGAAAGAGAATCGGGGCAGCTCGTCAGTTTTGAGAAGTCCAAAGTCTCTTTTGGGGCCAATGTGACACCACATCAGTGGCTCTCTGTCAGTTTGGCGCTAGGAATGAGGAGAGTGGAGAAAAACGACAAGTATTTAGGGTTGGTGACGGAAGTAGGGAGAGCTAGGAAGTAATTGTTTGAGCATTTAAAGGAACGAGTCCGAAAGAAACTAACGAGTTGGAAGGAAAGACATATGTTTGTAGCGACGCGGGAAGTTCTGATAAAGTCGGTAGCCTAGGCTCAGCTTACCTATGTGATGTCAGTTTTCAAAGTCCCGGAAGGGATCATCGATGACATCCATAGTATGATCATGCGGTTCTGGTGGGGTCAGAAAGGAGAAGAATGTCTCATCCCGTGGGTAGCGGGGGAGTCTCTTATTTGCTCGAAAACTGAAGGGGGTATGAGATTCAGGTATTTAAGAGGATTTAATTGTGCTCTCCTGGCGAGGCAGCTCTAGCACCTTCACCAACGTCCTCAGTCACTTGTATCCCGTATTCTTAAGGACAAATACCATCAAAGATAGAGCATTTTGGAAGCAAAAATCGGCTATAGACCGAGTTTTATATGGAGAAGCCTGATGAGTGTTCAAGAGTTTCTGTTGAGTGGTATGCGATTGAGGATCGGGAATAGGGACTCGGTTTGCATTTGGGGGGATCGGTGATTGCTTAGTACTCCAGGGAAGTTAATCCCGTCGGCACCAATGGGGTTGCCGGTCGAGTCCAAAGTTCGAGCCCTCATTGACCCAGAGATCGAAAGATGGGACGAGAATCTTCTGGAGAGTTGCTTACCGGCTGCTGTTGCTGCAGCCGTTCGGGCCATCCCGCTGCGGATCTATCAAGAGCAGGACATGCAGATTTGGGCAACCACTAATTTAGGCGACTACACTGTCCGAGACAGGTACAGATTGTGGGTGGAAAAATTCAAGAGAGATCATGGTATAGAGACAGTGGGTACACCGGAGCTGTGGATAGGTATATGGTTGCTAAATCTCCCTCCAAAAGTGCGCATTTCTTTTGGCGGTTGGCCCGAGATGTGCTGGCAACCAGGGATCACGTGAGTAATCGCTGTAAACGACAATGTGATATATGCCAGTTCTGCAACCAGCGGGAGACCCAAGTTCACCTGTTTACAGAGTGTGGCTAGTCGTGTCGGGTATGGCGGACTTTTACTGTGGCAAAATGGTTTGAATCTCGAGGAGTTTTGGACAACATGGAATGGGTTAAGAAAATCATGGGGGAAGATCCCCAAAGGGAGTCGGAGGAATGGAGCATGCTGATGTGGTTTTTATGGAAGGAAAGAACGCCCACCTGTTTAATGGAATAAAGATAAATGAACCTCAGATTGTGTTTCGATCCATTGTTTCCCCCGAGGATTATCAGAGGCAGCAAGGTCATACGGCTGAAACCAGTGGACAACCTCCAGCAATGAAGTGGACATGACCTCCGACGGGGAAGATTAAAGTTAATACTGACTCTGGAGATGCGATGGATGTATCGGGTTGGGAGTGGTTGTCCGAGACTCTGCTGGCAAGTTCTTGTTAGCTGCGGCAAGCAGAATCTGGGGGAGTATTCAGTGGAGTTAGGGGAAGCGTTCGCAGCGGAGCTAGGAGTGAAGCTGGTAGTACAACATGGATTGGGGATACCGATATTGGAGATGGACATCCTTATCATTACAAGAAAGTTAGAGAAGGCGACTGAGGATCAGACGAAGGTGGGTGTGGTGTGCAGGAATGTTCGACGACTATTGACAGAGTTGAATGGTGGGACATGGGAACACGTCAACTGGGAAGCCAATGGTGCAGCGAATATTATGGCTAAGGTCATGATTAGATGGGAGGAAACACAAGAAATGTTTGAGAGACCGCCATTGATTGTGATTAAAAAACTTCGATTGGATGATGTAACTTCAATACCTATTCAATAAAAGCTTCGAGCACATGTTACTATAAAAAAACACGTTTCCTTGTGACGTAAGCCACCTGAGAAAGGTGGATGTTTTTATTATTGAATCATGGTACATCCGGCTCCCTCTTGATTACAAGTTTATTTTTTTGGGGCCCTCGTGGATTTGCACCATGGACCACTTGACTGGCCATCCCCAAGATCTAACAAAATTGACTAACTGCTCGAAATATTTATCCCATCTAATGACGTTATCTTGTCTACCACCCTCTCACATGTAGTGTACAGTTGGCATCAGTATCCTGTTAACCGGGAAAGAGAGGTTGAGCCAATGATCATGGACGAAATGCACAACAATGACTCCTCTAGGACCGATTTCCCTAGATAGGTTGTCCACTGGTAGGATGGTACAATTGTACGTAGCTGGTGTGGTGTGGAGGATATTGCAGTGCATGAAAACAACCAAGTTAAAGATCATGGAGAATACGAATAGATCTGATATGATCCCCATTGAATCAATCTAAAATTCACAATTACTTGCCAAAGAAGTCATCTCAACTCACTTGAAGAATTCTGATTTATGACTAAGTGTTGAAACAGTTTCAGGTAACCTACTTTGGAAGCTTGTATCTCACAAATGGCTCAATGGAAATTGGAGATCAAGAGCTTGTTTTACATATAAAGTTGCCATGTTTCCAATGGTATAATTTATGGATCCATATGATGTCATTAAGTTTGTTTTCCAAGGCCACAAAGTTGCTACCTCAAAACTGGAAAACTGCCAGAAAATGACTAAGGCAGAAACTGTTTTGTGAAGCCTACTTTGGAGCTCAATTCAAGAAGCATGGATGGGATTCCAGTCAAAAGGCTTCTACAACATGAAATTAGGAATGTTTATCTACCAAGGGAAGGAATCGGATGAAATATTGGAGTTCTGGAAGGCCTCGAACGAAAGGCGCGAAGTTAGTATAAAAGCTATCTTTTGACTGTTTTGCTGGCAGATTACTTGTGCGCCAAGAAAGGAAGTTTGTGGCCGAGTTTTGTACTATTTTTAGAGTTTGTTTTTACCTTAATTTTTTCCTAGTTACATTAGGTTTGTATTAGGATTTATTGTCTTTAAATACCTTTCCAATTCACGTTGTAAAGCAGAGTTGATTGAATTGAATAACAAACCGAGTGTTTGAGTTCTTGAGTTGCGTTTCGAGAGTTTACCCATTGTCATTAGCTATGAGTGGATTCCTTAGCTAATTACAAGACCCTTGTGAAGCTATCTTGAGTGGATTCCAGAATTGTTTAGCAAGTTCTCTTATCAATCGATTAATCACCTCGATTGTGGCGAGAATTCTACCTATTCATCATCTGTCGTTCGATTGTTTGTGTGAGCTGCGTATTCTGATCAAAAGCACCCCCTGGTGCTTTATCAAGTGGCATCAGAGCCTTAGGTTCAAATCAGTGGCGGTTTGTTCTTGACGGAAAAAAACTCTGTTTTCTGTGCGTCAAACAAGATGGAAATTTCGACAGAAGAGCTAGCAGAATCGATGTTCTTCACACGTTGTTTAATCGATGAGAAAGTGTGTTTAGTTCTAGTGAATGGAGGTAGGGTGAGGAATTTGATTTCCTCTAGAATCGTGAGCAAGCTAGGGCTGCTATCACAATTCCATACAGCTCCCTACAGTTTGCAATTGCCATACGAGAAATATCCAAACATTGTGATGTCCCAGGTGGCTGTGGAGATTTCGATTGGCAAATACCAAAATCGGATAATGTGTGATGTGGTATTATTTTGGGACAGCCTTGGTGTTTGACCCGGATTAGTACCGGGGGATTAGAGTGGAACCTTGATCCGGACTCCCTCGTCTGATCTCCTCGGGAGTGGAAGAATCCTGTGGAGAGTCGGGGGTGGCCCCCGTGATCTACACTCCGACGATTAAGTTAGAATAGGATATATGATAGAGTGTAGAGAATGTAGAGAGAGATAGGGTTTAGAGAGAGAACCATAAGTGGTAAAGTGAGGGCAGGGAGAGAAGTCCCTTTGCTTGGAGGGTCTAGCCTCCTTATATAGGAGTCGGAGGCATCCAGTGGATGCCTCCCGGTGGTGGGCGCCTCCCGTTGTCATGGACGCCCCCGGTAGACTGGACGCCTCCCGTCGATGGACGCCTTCCGGTGGTGGACGCCCCCGGGTAGGCTGGACGCCTCCCGGTGAGGGACGCCTTCCGGTAAAGGATGCCCCCGAGTGGACTGGACGCCTCCTGGTGTACTGGACCCTAGAATGGGCTTGGGCCCAAAGTGAGAGGCTTTGTGGTGGGCTTGGGCCCGTATTAGGCAGGTTAATACTGGACCCAACATTTGCCCCTTTGCTTCTTGTATTCTGTAAGAATGGAAGGAGTAAAATAATGCGTTAATGTGTATTAACTTGCCTTACTTGCGAGTCCTCACGATGCGGTTTTGCCCCTTGTGCAACCATTGCTCGGTGATGGATGCCCCTAGTGATGGACGCCTCCCGGTAATGGACGCCTCCGGGTGACAGGATGGCTCTCAGTGATGGACGCCCCCGAGTGTACTGGACCTTTGCGAGTCTGGACGATGCGGTTTGCCCCTTGTGCGGCCATCGTCTTTGCTTCTTTGCTTAGCATTCGATGTCTTGAGTTAGAGCTCTCAAGTCGTTTGAGATTTCCCCACTAGCCCATTGCGGAGCGTGCTAATATGTAGGCCGTAACTGTGAGCTGTATGCGTTAAGCTGTTGGACCGCGAGATGGGCATGAGCTTGTGTGCATGTTAAGCGTGAGTTGTTGGCTGAATATTAGGCGTTTTCTATGTGCTAGGGAGGGCGGCCCCCACGACTTGAGAGTTTTAACTCAAGGCGACGTTTGTGTTTTAAAGATGACGCGCCTGCTGGGAGGCGGGATCGTGTTAGCTATACCGATGTCGCGCCTACTGGGAAGCGGATTCGGGCTTCTAACTCGAGAGGAAGCATCGCTCAGGAAGCGGGATGCGGTTTTATAATCTGCGAAAGATGTGAGTGACTAGTTCCCAATATACTTAGACTTTAAATATGAGCATAGGATGTAGTGAGAAATATCACAGTATGATATTAGTGGCGGTCTTCATGGCATAGTATTTGAATATGTCTTAGAAGGAAGTACTTAGCTATAGGAGACGCAGTAGAGAAATGGTTGAAGTAGTGAGAGTCGTGTCTTGACTCACAAAGTCGCTTGTAGTGCAGTGGTATGCGCATACTCTTTCTAATCGTTGGACGTGGGTTCAAAACCAAGCGGAGGCGTTCCCTTTATTATTTTTGAAAATGAAGATGCATGCACGTGATTGGGCGCGAGTTGGAGTGCGATTGGGCCGTCGAAGGCGCGAGTTGGAGGGGCTTCTTGCGCGGCCTTGCGACGTGAGGCAGGCTTCGGTCTCGGATGCATGTGTGGGCTTGCGACGTGAGTCGGGTCGACTTCGCGGGCTTCTTTTAATGCGGTCCTGCTAGTGTGAAGTGGACTTTGAAGGTGGCCCAACTTCTGCTAGTTGAGGCGGGCTTGGAGGAGTGATGTGGAGTGAGCGCTTTGTCCGAAGTCGTGATGGGCTTCGCAAGCGGGCCTCTTGCGGGCTAGTCGTGAGTCGTGAGTCGGGGTCGACTTCGCGGGCTTCTTTAAATGCGGTCCTGCTAGTGTGAAGTGGACTTTGAAGGTGGCCCAACTTCTGCTAGTTGAGGCGGGCTTGGAGGAGTGATGTGGAGTGAGCTCTTTTTCCGAAGTCGTGATGGGCTTCGTAAGCGGGCCTCTTGCGGGCTAGTCGTGAGTCGTGAGTCGGGGTCGACTTCGCGGGCTTCTTTAAATGCGGTCCTGCTAGTGTGAAGTGGACTTTGAAGGTGGCCCAACTTCTGCTAGTTGAGGCGGGCTTGGAGGAGGGATGTGGAGTGAGCGCTTTGTCCGAAGTCGTGATGGGCTTCGCAAGAGGGCCTCTTGCGGGCTATGATGTGATTCAAATGTGGAGAGACGAAGCGCGGGCCGTGGGCCGCGGATGCTTAATCGACGCAGAGCTGGCCGGATGAGCGCTTTGTCCGAAGTCGTGATGGGCTTCGCAAGCGGGCCTCTTGCGGGCTATGATGTGATTCAGATGTGGAGAGACAAAGCGCGGGCCGTGGGCCGCGGAAGCTTAATGGACGCAGAGCTGGCCGGATGTGGAGCGGTTTGGACTTTGGAGGCGGGCCGGAACGGAAAGCGGGCCTGATGGGAAGCAGCTTGCGCATTGGTTGGCCGCGTTCCGGACAGACGGATCATTTGGTGGTGGGCCTAACCTGAGGCGGGGGCCCATGTTGCGGACTGAGTTAAATCGATCGTAATTGGAGGCGGGCTGGACTCTGTGGCGGTTGGGCATGAAGGAAAGGAGGGAGAAAATGTATATGACAGAGACAGTTGCCTCTTTTTTCTTTTTGCAGGCTTGGGAAGATAGGACGATGTGACAAGACCTTTTCTTTTTGTTTTTGAAAAAAAAAACTGCTTTTCCAGAGAAAGCATGGGGAGAGAGGACGATGTGACAAGACCTTTTCTTTTTGTCACTATTGACTGTCGGTTTCCCCTTTTTTGGGCGGAGCTCCGGCGGCTCTACCAATTCCAGTTGGCTACGTCGCCGGAATCTGGGTTCTTTTTCTTTTTTTCGCTGTAGTTTGCAGATCGAGTTTGGGGGTGGCGATGAGCGTGGAGAGGAGCAGCTTCTTGGTTGTTAACGTCATAGACAGGTGGGGAGGAAGTCAAGTTCCCTTTTTCTTCAACCTCCGATGGGTTTTATTTTCGCATTCAGGGATGGATCTTGGGACACTTCAGCTCCTCTTTGCAATTGATCTTTGGATCTGGGAGGGATTTCCCCTTCAGAAATCAGACTAAAGAATACCACAATCATGGCCCCATGGTGGGCGCCAAAATGTTTGACCCGGATTAGTACCAGGGGATTATAGTGGAACCTTGATCCGGACTCCCTCGTCTGATCTCCTCGGGAGTGGAAGAATCCTGTGGAGAGTTGGGGGTGGCCCCATGATCTACACTCCGACGGTCAAGTTAGAATAGGATATATGATAGGGTGTAGAGAATGTAGAGAGAGATAGGGTTTAGAGAGAGAAACATAATTGGTAAAGTGAGGGCAGGGAGAGAAGTCCTTTTGCTTGGAGGGTCTGGCCTCCTTATATAGGAGTCGGAGGCATCCAGTGGATGCCTCCCGGTGGTGGGCGCCTCCCGTTGTTATGGACGCCCCCGGTAGACTGGACGCTTCCCGTCGATGGACGCCTTTCGGTGAGTGGACCCCTTCCGGTGGTGGACGCCTCCCGGTGAGGCACGCCTTCCGGTAAAGGATGCCCCCGAGTGGACTGGACGCCTACCGGTATACTGGACCTTATAATGGGCTTGGGCCTAAGGTGAGACACTTTGTGGTGGGCTTGGGCCTGTATTAGGCGTGTTAATACTAGACCCAACACTTGGTTTCATGATCGACAAGTTCGGCTGGTTAGCAGAAGAGGCAAACAATTTCGATTAAAGCATCAACGCAAGGCATTTACTTTGAAGCCTTTGGCTGCAGAAGAAGTTTTAAATGACTTGAAGGTGATGTAGCAACATCAAGACGAGTACAGGTCGTCGTTGGTGGCCAGGTCGTTTTCGGTGAGCAGCAACTTTGTCCAACCTCTGCTTGAAGCTGGAGACCTCTGTTCAAAGACGGCAGAACAGGACAGGAGAGAGAGACGGGATTGGTTGGAGCACGAGGGGCAGAGTAGACCTCAACCAACGCTGCTGCGACCTTCTAGGAGACCCCATCAATATTAGCAAGTGAGTCGTTGGAGTTGAATGTGCCTGAGTTTGAAGATCTTAATATCACGGAATCGCCCCTGTTTTTGACGAAAAAACAAAGAGAAAGAGCCTCTATTGCGTAGCACGTTCGAGCTCGAATTGAACAAAATTGACAATGCAGAATTGTTCAATGGTGTCCATAGAACGTGTAGAAGTCTTCAATTCATCCCGAAGACGCATCAATCGAATACGCCCAATTCGGAAATTCGTGGCTAAAACAATGAACACGAGAAGGATGAGTCGATTGACGCGATTGGGAGTGAATCGAACCTAAAGGATGCTGTGGACGAATTCCTAGAGGTCCAAGGAAGCCTCCCGAATGCTCAATTCATCGAGGAGAAACCCGAATCGAAAATGCCCAAGTGTGCGATTGGCTCGCCGGAAATTGGGTTTCTCTTGCCGGAATCTGGGTTTGCTCTGCCGGATTCTGGAAATTCGAATTTTCATGATGGCGGGAAAGTTGGGCGATGCGATTGGAGACGATTTGCAATTTCGACGCACGGGAGTAGTATGAATCGATTCTTTGGATCGAGGCGAGTCGATTTTAGGCAATGAATTTAATCAGGGCAGCGGCGAGAAGAAATTCCCAAATTGGAATAGTTCGCCAGAGTCCTTGCCGGCGCCGGAATCTGTGAAAATTTCGCCGGAGAACTTACAGGTGCAAAGCTTGATTTTGAGTCAAGATTTTGTCAATTTTTGTGTGGCAGGTGAGCTATGGAATCCTACTAATCAGTTGGATCAGCTTGGAGCCGAATTTAAAGGTGCAATTTTTATGACGAAAATTGTGTGTGAGCAGCCCTCTTTCGATCCACTTTGGGATCAATTCTGTGAAGTTTTTGACAAGAAGCAACTCCAAGCGTTGAGGTCAAAGCTTTTTGAAGAGGGGGAGCATGATATGATCCCAATGGGATCAATCTACAATTCACAATTACTTGCCAAAGAAGTCATCTCAACTCACTTGAAGAATTCTCATTTTTGGCTAAGTGTTGAAACAGTTTCAGGTAGCCTACTTTGAAAGCTTGTATCTCACAAATGGCTCAATGAAAATTGGAGATCAAGAGCTTGTTTTACATATAAAGTTGCCATGTTTACAATGGTATAATTTATGGATCCATATGATATCATTAAGGTTGTTTTGTGAAGCCTACTTTGGAGCTCAATTCAAGAAGCATGGATGGGATTCCAGTCAAAAGGCTTCTAAAACATGAAATTAGGAATGTTCATCTACCAAGGGCAGGAATCGGATGAAATATTGGAGTTCTGGAAGGCCTCGAACGAAAGGCGTGAAGTTAGTACTAAAGCTGCCTTTTGACTGTTTTGATGGCAGATGACTTGTGCGCCAAGAAAGGAAGTTTGTGGCCAAGTTTTGTACTATTTTTAGAGTTTGTTTATACCTTAATTGTGTCCTAGTTACATTAGGTTTGTATTAGGATTTATTGTCGTTAAATACCTTTCCAATTCACGTTGTAAAGCAGAGTTGATTGAATTGAATAACAAACCGAGTGTTTGAGTTCTTGAGTTGCGTCTCGAGAGTTTACCCATTGTCATTAGCTATGAGTGGATTCCTTAGCTAATTACAAGACCCTTGTGAAGCTATTCTGAGTGGATTCTAGAATTGTTTAGCAAGTTCTCTTATCAATCGATTAATCACCTCGATTGTGGCGAGAACTCTACCTATCCATCATCTATCGTTCGATTGTTTGTGTGAGCTGCGTATTCTAATCAAAAGCACCCCCTGGTGCTTTATCAAGATCCACACCCCTCATCCAATGATGTATGGTCGTTCCCTTTGTAGTAGCGATGTCGATGCTAGTGATTGCCACAACCACATCCACGCCATACATGTTAGCGTATCGCCAATCATGCTGACGGATTTCTTCAGAGATGAGTCTGCTCACCTCTAGGAACCCATCTTGATTACCATATAATGTAAAACTAAGTGAACTAAACCCACAATGACGTCTGGCACATGGTCGTGGATGACAATGACAAGGTCCCGAACAAATACAAGAAGCAGATGCAAGTGTGCGTATTTGAATTGGCTGCTGGATCTAGGGATATCTGCATCATGGATAGAGAATCAACACAAATTCTACATAATATCGTATAAATAACAACACTTATGGTTTGCTGATGTGTACCTGTATCAGGATCTTTGTATTGTTGTCGTCATCAGGATCATCATGCTCATCAAACGCATGGTCGTCTAACGGGTACTCCTCTGTCTGAGTCCCCGTGGACTTTGTCTTCGTCGACCTTGAATACCCCGACGTTGTGCTCCCTGACTTGTTTTTCATGTTTTTCGTCTTACCACGCAGTATCTTCTCATACCAACTTTGTTTTCTTCTAGTTGATTTTTTGCTTGGTCGTCCCCTCCAAGTTTCGTTCACTTCTGACTCGTGAATGTTGTCTTACGTTGGGTGGAGTCATCGAAACACGTTGTTTGTTTCTTTTTTAGTTGCCTCTGGCCTTCCGCGTACAGCCTCATCAACCAACTCCTGAAGGTGATGTTTAGCTTCATCCTTGTGGGGTACGTACTCCTAGGTGTTGGGTGGGTGCTCGTATGCCATTCTCTGCTAAAATAGATGAAGATCACCATGGTAAATCTCTATGTCTCGCGCTCTGCCATCCATAACCTGACATCCACACTTCAAGCCGTGTGTCACAGAGAAATGACATGCACATCAGGAGTTCTCATTTTTCCAAACGGGCCGCCAAATTTTCTTCAGCCTCTTTCATCAGTATAATTGCCTGCGTGCTGACCTTCCTCCTCAAGTATGTGAAGGATGTACCGTCAGCTGCTGAAAGGGTTTTCTATCGTGAGTTTTCCAACATCATCCTAACCTTCCCGAGTTGGTTAGTAATGTGGTTTCTTTTCCATACAGTGTGTATAGACCCCCGCGAGTTGTGAAGGAAAGTTTTCAATGATGAATGTGATGACTCAACCTTGTTTGTGCTCGTATTTCCTAGATGGAACACTTGTTTGGTATGACAAACTTCCCACTTCTCTCATTGCGGTCACCACACTCGTTGTATGTATTCCAATAGACGTGGATTGTCATTGCTCCATCTCGCCCTAAAGAGGCCAAACGCGGCCAACATACCTTGCTCGGACCAAGAATAAAGCAAAGGACACCAACCTTCATTGAAAGCCTCGTTGACCAAATCCATATTGTCCTTCCCTATTATTTCCAGAAACTTCGCATGCACATTATTGTTGATGTGCCAAACACATAGCAAATGCGGGATGTAGGGGAAAACACCAGAAACTATAGCAAGTAGTCAACCTTCATGGTCGGTGATGATGGCAGTGGGCACGCGTGGATGAGAGCACAACATATGTTGAAATTCATCCCAACGGGAGTAGCACCTAAGACCTCCACCCACGACATTTTATACGCATTGGTCTCATACG